AGGGTGTTTTGTTCATGAGTAAAGGATGGATGGATGGATGGATGGATGGATGGATGGATGGATGGATGGATGGTTGGATGGATGGATGGATGGATTGATTCTTTGGGTGATCTGGTTTTCAGTCAGAATATGCTAAAACAAACATTTCCTTAAAGGAGGGGGTTATAATGCAAAACAGATCCTTTTTAGCTTTATATCATATTATGATGTCATTCCCTCATCTAAAACATACTCGGTGTTGCTTTGACTCATTCATGCTGACCCCCCCCACAGAGCACCCCTCCCCTGTAGCATTGTTGTGAAAGGCCAATTGCAAGGCATTTATGATGTAAAGTTAAATTTAATTTTGATATACACCACTTTTCAGAACAAATGAAGGTAAAATAGTTACTTGATTGTGGTGTAGAGCTGAACCATGTGCCAGGACAATACCTAACTTTGCCTCTTTAAAAGTCTGATGAACACTGGTGGAATTTATCTCATCAAATCACAGCTGAGTAATGAGAGGGWTGACACCTGAAGAGCACAGCGCTGTGATTGGCTGATGTGAGGTGGGGCGGGGTTTATCAGAAGATACAGGATGTTTGTCCAGTACCTGTTCGAAGGCAGAGCTGGCTGAAGTCTGAGCAGCAGGCGTTGTAGGTCTTACACAGGTTGTCACAGCGACAGTTTGGGAGCTCCGCCTCCTGCAGCTCAAAACACCTGTTCCTGCAGGATCCAGAGGTCGGGACGCTCTGAGAGGCAGGGCGAGCTGAGGACAACACAAACACAGTCTGACAGATTTATTATTGTTTCTTTAAACTGAAAACTAGAATCTGACTGGAGAAATTTAATTGCTGCAGGGTAATCTGTTAGTGACCATAATTATTTTCTGTTGAGGATTATTATTCTCAAACATGTTCCAGTAGTTTTAGCTACAGCTGAACCTCTGCCCATCTCTGCTTCTCACAGATTCAGCCTCTGAATGATCTGATGACAGGTAATATCATCTGTTACAAAATCTTCCCCCAGTTGTTTCTTATYCATTTTACAGAATTCTGTCCCAAATCTTAGTCACACATAAAATTTTAATTGTCCTAAATTTTTTAATGCAGTTTTAGAATAAACATTTGATATTTTTATGATCTTCCAAAATGAATAAAATATGATTTAGAAGATTTACAAACCATTGCTTTTARTTTTGTCTACATAATTAAACTGGGTGTTTCCTAAATGTAGCGTCATAATTATCTCAGTGACAACAGAATAAAGGAAGCAGATTGTTGTTTATTRTTTATTGTATTATATGAATATAACTTATTGTAAAGATGTCTGGTCAGTTAGAGCAGCTGARGCTGGACTGACTCATTAACCTTCCTCCTCGCTGCCAGCACCGAGCTGGAAATTAAAAGTGGACAGCAGCGTTCTCTGAAGAAATGCACATCACCCGCTAGGTTTTACACTCAGATTAAACAGAGAAAAAAAAAAAAACTGAGTTGTTGCAGTTTTGGTTAGACAACAATGAAATGCACAATTTAATGTGGAGTCATTCTCTGCCTGTGTGTTGTTACGTTTGGGACGATATTGGCAAAAAAGTGTCACAATTAATTGGGAAATTTAGCTAATATTGATTAATAAATGACAGCTGTGTTCTAAAGTTTTCCTTGCAAATCATCAAACTACCTTCATGTTAACAAGTTCAAATGTTGAAAATCAACCTTTTCCACAATGCAGAGTGGTAGCAGCTGTGTAGTAGGGCAGTATGATGTGGACACATATTTATAGTTTTTTAATGACTAACTAACTAACTAACTAACTAACTAACTAACTAACTAACTAACTAACTAACTAACTAACTAACTAACTAACTAACTAACTAACTAATCTGTTAGTAAGTCTGTGTTTCAGGTCATCAGCATTTAGCAGAATGATTTGGGATGGGAGCAGTAAATATGAACACTGCAGACAAATGATTTAATCTGGATTAGCACAAAGGAAAACAGAAAAGCTTCATCTACAACCAGTTAGTACTGTATATGAAAAAAAAATCAGTTCAAACAATTAACCTGTAGTAATCACATACCTGCAGAACTGCTGACTCAGCAGTCAGTTTATTTGTTTTTTAATCAAACTTCTATCACAAACTTGATATTTATTTGATGTACTTTGGTTAAAATGTTGTTCTGTGAATAAACAATAAAAAATTGAATGTGATTGCCTTGTTGGTTTTTTTCCCAAAACATTTTTTTCTAAACTTTCCTTCAGCAGACTCACTTTATTTTTCTTCTTCTGCTACTTTCAGCTTTAGCTACTGTTTTAATAATTGTAACACATGGCTACAGTTTTAGGATTTTTTGCTCAATTTAATCTAGATTTTTTTAGCTGCAGTTGGCCTGGTTTTATTTTTTAAGTACAGTTTTATTAAACTTGGCTTTTAGCTATTGTTTAGCTGATTTAGCCTCTATTCTGCTTGTTTCAACTTTGAGAAATCAAATAAATTACAGTGAAGTCATTGAAGAGTCTAATTTTACCTGAGTTTATTTCTATTTTACTGCTACTTCAGCTTAAATAATTTAATTTGAGGTATTTGTTTTAATAATTTAATCTGAGGTATTTGTAAATTAATCTGAGGGGTCTGTTTGAATAATTTAATCTGAGGTATTTGTTTAAATAAATTAACCTTATGACTCAATTTTGAGAAATCAAATGAATTACAGTGAAGTCATTGAAGAGTCTAATTTTACCTGAGTTTATTTCTATTTTACTGCTATTTCAGCTTAAATAATTTAATCTGAGGTATTTGTTTAAGTAAATTTACCTGAAGGGTCTGTTTTAATAATTTAATCTGAGGTATTTGTAAATTAACTTGCGGGGTCTGTTTGAATAATATAATCTGAAGTATTAGTAAATTAACCTGATGGGTCTGTTTGAATAATTTAATCTGAGGTATTTGTAAATTAACCTGAGGGGTCTGTTTGAATTGTTTAATCTGAGGTATTTGTTTAAATAAATTAACCTGAGGGGTCTGTTTGAATAAATTAATCTGAGGTATTTGTAAACTAACCTGAGGGGTCTGTTTTAATTTTATAATCTGAAGTATTAGTAAATTAACCTGATGGGTCTGTTTGAATAATTTAATCTGAGGTATTTGTTTAAATAAATTAACCTGATGGGTCTGTTTGAATAATTTAATCTGAGGTATTTGTNGGGTCTGTTTGAATAATTTAATCTGAGGTATTTGTAAATTAACCTGAGGGGTCTGTTTGAATAATTTAATCTGAGGTGTTTGTAAACTAACCTGAGGTGTCTGTTTGAATAATTTAATCTGAGGTATTTGTAAACTAACCTGAGGGGTCTGTTTGAATAATTTAATCTGAGGTATTTGTAAACTAACCTGAGGGGTCTGTTTGAATAATTTAATCTGAGGTATTTGTTTAAATAAATTAACCTGAGGGGTCTGTTTGAATAATTTAATCTGAGGGGTCTGTTTGAATAATCTGAGGGGGGCTGAGCCCCCTCAGCTCCACCTAGCAGCGGCCCTGCTCAGAGGACACGCTGTGAACTGCTGTAATCTGTCAGAACTCAGATGTTTTCTCTTCATCGTGAAGAAATAAAAGTCTGRTCAGGACTGTACTCACACTCTGCTCTGCCTGAAGTCCCTTCTTCTCGTCTGGGTCGACCGAAGACAAAACCCAAACCCAGGTCGGAACCACAGGCTGACAGCATCCAGAAGAACTGGAAGGAAGAAAGGAGCTGCCGTTAAGAACCACGCGGGATTATTCAGCTTTGATTTTGTTAAAACGGGATTATTGCGACAGCATCTGCTGTTAGCCCCCCACTCAGGAGCCTGAACAAAGGTTTACACCTGGACCACCTGGACCACCCGCACACACAGCCAACTGTTCTACAGACATCCAGAGGTTCTGGAGGTCCAAATGAAGCCAAGCAGCAGATAAAAACAAGATTAAGGTCCGAGCCAGTAATCCCAGTCCTACCAGTGAGTGCAGCAACATGTCTCCTGCCGGGCTCAGACGGTCCCCCTTAGTCCCGAGCTGAGGACCACCGGGGAGGACGGTTCTTAAGAGACCGGGTGGTGCGAGGGGAGGGTCCGGCCCCGGGAGGAGGTCCAGCCTGGTCCTGAAGGATCCGTCTCATCCCGTTTTACAGAAGAACTGGACCCAGGTGTGGTTGTAGCTGAGAGTCCTTCACAACTCACCCTCTGAGCACAGCCTTTCACAATAAAACACATGGTGGTATTTTTAACAAAAAGTCTACGACTTTTAATCTGAAAAGCTGTGATGCTTTTCAATCCAACCAGACTCAAGATTTATTTTGTTTTTATTTATTTTTCAATAGAACTCATATTCAGATGACTCAGCATGTTTTCTGATGACGCATGTTTTCTGGACGAGCTGCTGCCCTTTAGAAGCAGGGGCGTCTCCCCAAAGTTTGGGGGGCGGCATGTGGGGGGCACCGATAACATGGAGGGGTCACACTTAATCCAAAAACCAGAACAAAGTTATTTTGTGTGTCTGTTTGTGAAATATTGTTATATGAGAGTCAGAGACTCAGGCTGTGGTTCAGACCAACGTTGGGTTCTTATTAAAGAACAGCAGAWCCATGAAGCTCCGAACAACTTCACAGCAGAAGCAAACATCGTGTCACACCAGCACATAACTGGTTAAACTCCAGTTCATCAGGTTCTGACCCATAAAACAAGTAGTAGAGACTCACCACCAAGACATCAAAACTTTATAGCAGGTCATTTTACCATAAAATCAGCTTCACTTCTTACATTCCAGATTTCTGAAATTAGTTTTTAAGTTATTTAAAACATCCTTATTTTCAGACTAGCATAAATGAATAAATTCAAAATATTTTAAAATGAATATTTACTAGTCAAATACAGTTTTAGATACTGTATCTCCMAGTTAGTTTTGTCGAGACATTATTTGCTTTCAACATATCTTGCTTTTTGTCTGACTAGTCACATTTCCAATTAAAGATATGATTTAAATAGCATTATTCAAGATATCTTAAATGTATTTGTAGGTATCAGATACATACAGATCAACGAGTGCAAATTAAATTGCAGATATCCTGAAAGCAAATGACTAGGGTTGGGCAATACTGGCAAAAAAATTATTCACGATTAATTGTGGTATTTAGCCGATAACGATTACTTTGACGATTAATCCCCTGGAGTCCC